CAGGATACATTGAAGCCAGAAAGTTCTCTTCTCCTACACGGGCTAGTCTTGCAAGGCTAGTCATGGACTTGGAAAGATTTGAGAATTACCCATGGGGAAGAGTGGCGTTCAAGGTTCTAATGGATTCTTTGAAGGCAAAAGACTTGACGCAAACAGGTTACACCGTTGATGGGTTTGTACAGGTTCTCCAGGTGTGGGCATACGAAGCTATGCCAGAATTGGGTGCCAATTATGGCTCTCCTGTGTCAAGCAGACCGTCTATACCGTTGCTTGCTTACAAGGGTGGCCTAGGACAACGCAGATGTATCAAGGACGCCATCTGCAGACAGGTACTTAACTTCACTCTCGGACGTCCCGGACGACTTTCAGACGACTTAAAGTTAAGTCATCTGAAAGTCGTCTGGAAAAAGACTTCACAGACGACTTAAAGTTAAGTCGTCTGAAAGTCGTCCAACAATCACTCCCGGACGACTTTCAGACACTTAAAGTTAAGTCATCTGAGTCTAAGTCGTCTAACAAAAAACTTATAAGACGACTTAAAGTTAAGTCGTCTGAAAGGCGTCCTACAAATTTTTTTTGTTGGACGACTTTCAGACGACTTAACTTTAAGTCGTCTGAGAAGTTTTTTGTTAGACGACTTTCAGACGACTTAACTTTAAGTCGTCCATCCCAATCCGTCAAATACCTAAGTTTATATGTTTTATTTACTGCAGAGAGACGTGAAAAACTTTGTTCGAAAGGACCTTGAAGACATGTTTCCAAAATGGNTTTGTTCTTGGATGGAAGTGGACCATGGACTGCTGGCAAGTCACCGGTACTCAGAAGGTTGGTGTGAAGCTTGAGAGTGGTGTGAAGAAGGTTGGTGTGAAGCTTGAGAGTGGTGTGAAGATTGAGAGTTGTGTGAAGGAGGAGAGTGGTGTGAAGGAGGAGAGTGGTGTGAAGGAGGAGAGTAGCAGACCTTGGAAGAGAGCTCGTAAAGAGTCGCATGTTGAAGCTGAGACTTTTACGAAAAAGCATCTTCAAAAAGCCTTGAAGGACATATCTGATGCCATGAAGGATGGGTTTGATAGGTGCCTTAGGGAGATACAGTTGGTGGGGTCTAGGGTGGGAGCTTTGGAGAAGAAGGTGGGAGATCTGGAGAAGATGGTGGGTAGTACTTCAGCAATTCCAGAGAAACCCGGGGTTAGTACCAAAATCACTATGCAACGTGTTAAGAAGAGGACAAAATAGGCTTGTGTGTAGAGTTTTTAACCATTGTATCCTTTGCTTCCAAGTTTTCTCCTTCTCTGGAAATATGTGAATAATTAGCAAGTCTCATTGCACGCTTTTGGTCGAGCACAAATCCACCTAATAGAGGAATACACAGAGCGAACTAGATCAGCTCCCACTTTTTTTCCAAGAAATCATAGCTGAATTGAATATTTTCTAGTGCAGAACCCACTTTCGTAGTTGTCAACAATCTTAAGATCAGAGTTTTAGTTAGCAAATTGAGAACACAATCATTTACACCAATTTCTTGAAGAATAACTATCACTATAGTAACTCTATAGGTTTCTCCAATCTTTCATAACAAAATATAAACCCAAAATTCTAACAAGTGAATTACTAAGACATAGCAAAACAAATCATTGAAGCAATCTAAATAGAATGCATAGATAGAATAAGGTAGAAAAGTTCGAGTTCCAATGCAAAGCCTTCATGGAGTTTTGGATGTTCTCTCGAAGGTACTAAAATAGCCTTAACTTTTTGATGTGTTAAGAGTTCTGTTAAAAGCGTGTGAGGTGCCGAATACAAAGGCAGAGGAATTAAATATGAAGTTAAAACTACTATGGGCTAATCTTTTAATTATGTGAGAATTTTGGTTGAAAGTCTGCTAGGAATTAAGTCGAGCCTCTGGCGCTTGGCTGCTGATTGATGATAAGAGGTTTTAGTTGATCGACATTCACATAAGATGTTGACTCTGGCTGGTTCAATGATCAGCTCCGAGTTTTTTCTATCATTATCTCCAAAATCACAACATTTCTCAAAAACATAATCGAACCTGTAAATACTCTAAAAAGACCCCAAAAGATAGTGAATGGACTCTAAAACACTTATATACCATGGGTAAAAAGTGGTAAAATCATGGTATATCACAGAGAATCAGGGAAAGATAGACAGAATGCGCATTGCATTTGCTAGCTGCTCGGTGTTCCACGTATTATTTGTTGATGATAGCCTTTTCTTCTATATGGAAGAGCCCCGTGAATGTGATGAAGCAATGAAAGTAGTACAGGGTTATG